CTTCTAAATGCAAAATAGTTTACTTGTTGAATTTACCAAAATGCTTTTGTTTTGGTAACTCATTTCATTTGCCTGCTTCACATTAAACGTTCAACTAACTTCTTTTGCATCGGCTACAAAATTTTATCAACAAATATAATATATATGTACACCTGCAATGCAATTTCAAATATATACTCATTTTTAATAACGGGGTTCAAATCTAAAACCTCATTAACTATCCTAACCCCACCACTAATGTAAGTTACTTTTTTTTATTCATTAGGAGAAGAAGTGTACTTTAGGTGAGAAAAAGGAATATTCTAAATATAGACGTACATTGGCATTGTCGCACTCTATGATAGAAGAAGTGTATTTTTATTTATTAACTTTCCACAAATACAACTACTCTTTGTCTATGATCTACATAATCATGCATCCAACATAATTTTTAAGAAATATAAATTTTAGTTTATGCATAACTTACTTTTATTTTATAATTTGTTTACTTTTACTTATTACAAACAAAATCTTCATAAAATTATTTATTGTGAAATTTCTTCCACACTCTTAATTATGGATAAATAAATAATTGTATGGATAATTTATAAGATATTTAAAATTTTATTTTATTCTGTCTAATTTGATTCAAATAGTTGATGTAAAAAATAAGATTGATCTGATTTTATTAAAAAAAAAATTTTACTCTTGTCTTACGTCTGATTAAAAAAATCTTAAAAAAAAAGAATTTAAAAAATAAAAAATATTTTTGAAATATAAACTTTGTAAATAAACCCTTATATAAAAATAATATTTTATAACAACGATTTTTAACGATAATGAGAAAAATAATAATTTTATAATAAAAAAATTGTGGTTTACATTTTGAATGCAAAATAAAATAGGAGATTTTATTTTAACTGACTTATCAAATAAATTTTAATTTACAAGTTATTTTTTATATTGATTTAAATTTTAACTTTACGTTAATTTTAAATTTAAACGGGTATACAAAATATTTTATAGAATAAATCATTTAAAAGAATTTCACGTTCTCACAACATTCAATTTCTTTTCTTCCTCTCCACTCTTTCATTTTCTTCTTGCTCAAACAGTTCTTCTTCTACTTATTCTTTTTCATACTTCATCTTCTATTGCCTTCCCCCACCTTCTTTTTGCTTGTCTTAAGTACGAGATGCGTTATCTCCTCTTCAAATTCTAATTTATAATTAGAAGATGAAAAAAATACATAAATAACAATAAGCAATAGATTTATAAAAAAATAAAATAAAAAAAATGATGCAGTAAGAAGAGAAATAATATAAAACAATACTATAAATAAAAGTGTTTTTGGAAACTCATTCCACATTATCCCTACAAGTTTTATAACTTTTATATATATATATATATATATATATATATATATATATATATATATATATATATATATATATATATAATTTGGTTTTAAATTTATTAAATATACTTACTTATATATTTATATGTAATTTTTAATTTTTTATATTTTATTAACCCAAAAATCAATAACGAATATTTTCACACAAAATCACCCGTATAACAAGTTAAGGAAAATGACAATGAAAGCTGGCCAAACGAAGCGCATTCAAACACTAAGCAAAGACGCAATAAGCGACAAAAAAGAAACCAAACTCTCATGTCTATGTGACGACGTTAATTTTTAACTACAAGTAGTAATCTTTAATTGTTAATTTAAAAAAATATATCACTAACGTTGTTTTATTCGACCAGAGATTATTGTCGTTGTACAGGAAAATGGATAATGACATCTATCTATTAGTCAATTAAAAAACTCATCATTTAATTTTATTTGTAATTTTTTTTAATTTGATTATTGATCAATCGATTAATTTTGATTTAATTAAAAATTAAATAAATTAAATTATAATATATTTATATAAAAATAATTAATTTTAAAAATAAAAATATAATTTAGATAAAATTTATTTTTAAAATTTATATTATATTAATAAAAATAATTTTTATTTTAAATATAATAATTTAAGATATAAATTATATAAAAAACAACTTATTTAAAAAATTTAATTTTAATTTTTATAATTTATTATTTTAATAATTTTATGATGTAAAATAACAATTAATTTAAAAATATAAATTATTATTTTATAAAATAGATCACAAAATTTATTTAATCCACAAGGCTTAAATGATTAAGTCAAATTAATTTTATTTAATTTAGGTCAAAATTGACCTTATGAAATTTTGATTAAAATTACCTAATTTATCTCTGGAATTTTTCAATCTACCTATGGTATTAAACCTATTCTAAAGGCTTTTAATCATTGCCTAATATTATTTTATAAAAAAGTAATACTGAAATATTATTATCTATCAAATTTTATTGTAATGAGATTTTTATTTTCAGTAAGTTAGAGAGTTCGTTTAAAATGGTATAGCTGCTTCGAACGATTTTAATTTTAGTAAATTATTACCGTTGAATTTTGGTCCGTTGTCAATCAAATTATAAATATCTTTGACATCATTTTTAAAGTAATTGTAACAAAAGTAAATTTTGTATGAAAAACATTTCATGATTATTTAGTGTAAAAAGTAAAATTTAATTCTTATAAAGTGAGTAAATATATTATGATGAATAAAGTGTATGCATAATCAATAAATAGAAAATTAATGGTGTAAAATCTTTATGCAACAAAATGTATATTTAATAAAATTTAAAACTAATTCTAAACTTCAAGGGAGTTTACCACATGACAAATTATCTTGGCATTCACGACAATTTATGAATGTCATATGTAATAAAATTTCCAAGATCAAATATTGAATATCATATAATATTACAATAATTATGTCAACATAAATGCGAATTTTCTCTTTAAGAAAGGTAGTTTCATTTGTAACATAATTTATAAGTTTTATAAACTTTCTAACAATTTATGATTTTTACATGTAATGACATTTTGAAAAGAAAATATTAAATATTAAATAATAATATAATTATAATATTGTATAATCAGAGAATTAAAAAATATATATTTTTATGTCAACAATTATTTTAATGAAAGAATAAAATATTTTTTTAATAAATTTCATATTTTGCATGTCTAATGAAAAATTAATAATATAGACTGAATGACATGTACATTAAAGAAATATATCATTCAATCACATCTTACAGCAAAAATAACAATTGAGAGTCATGAGTATGTACATCCAGATAAGATATAAGATGGTCAAAAGAAATAAGAAGATTAATTTTCTCAATGAATATATTTAAATAATAATTTATTTTAATAAAAATGTATATATATGATAAATTGTTTTATTTATATAACTCTTATCATTATTTATTTTCAATAATAAATAATATTATTTATTTTTAATAATAAATAATATTATTATAAAAAATTTATTTGTAAATAACTGAATATATAATTATTCATTTTACTAAATAATATATTTATAATTAATATTAAACACTTAATGACATTTCTTATTATTTTATCTGATTTTTTATTACAGGAAAAAACATATTTGATATATTAATTAAATATATTGTGATATTATAAAAATAACTTCTTAAATTATTTTAAGATAAAATAAAGATGTTTTTAAAGAAAAAAATATTATTATATGATTTATATATTTAAAAATGATAAAATATAAAAAAATAACTATATTTAAAAAGTAGAAAGAAAAAATAATATTTTAAAAAAATTATAAATATTGTACCTAGTTACAAGAATATTGATTGTGACATCATTAAACTTATTATTATTATTATTATTATTATTATTATTATTATTATTATTATTATTATTATTATTATTATTATTATTATTTTTAAAAGGAGCCAGTTGAACCACCACGCGACCCATTGACATGTGCGAAGCAAGCAACAATGTGTCTCACGTACATAAACCTTAACATATTATAATTTTGAGTGCATACCTGATCCCAAATACTGTGTGTGTGTGTGTGTTTTTTTTTTTTTTTTTTTTTTATCTTATTTCTATTTAAAACAGAACAAAACCCACACCTACTACTTCTTGTCCCGTCCTCGTTAAATTTATGTAAGAATTGTTAAATAATACTAATCAGAGGATTGTACTTCAAAGGTTTTTTCTTTGATTTTGATAGAATTTTACTTGGTCATCGAGTTAGAAACGTAAATTTAAAATTTAACAATTGAAAATTTAATGATTATATATTTCATTTTCATTATAACTGTATTATTCATTTTTAAATAATGGTTTAATTATATTTTATTCTCTAAAATATACTTGATAGAAAACAAGAAATAACTCCTTAATAGAAAAAAAATAGAAATAACAAAAATGTTTTATTGATCATACGCTCTACATCTCTTACAAAGTTTATGAAACATTATCTTAATTTCCCGTCCACAATCCAGCATTATACCATTTTTAAGAAGAAATTGTGTTACTTTGTTTGAATCAAAAGTTGTTTAGAATATTTAATAAAAAAATTCATATATAAAACTTTATCGGTTATAAATAACATTGATGGGGAATGTCTTTATGATTAATATGGAGTATCACATTTACATAATTTATTAATTGATATAAAAATTTCTAATTTTCTATATCCATCACATCTCCACTAATTTCTAAATCGATGATATTAAGAATAGTTGAACATTACAACAACATGGATTAAAAAAAAAAAAAATATCAAAGTAAATGGTGAAGAAGGTTTTCATTGTAACTACATGAAAATATTTATTTTTACAGGAATTGTTATGAATTACCTTGTGAAACTGTAGTAATTATAATTGCAATTACTTTTCTTATATCTTCCTAAAATATCAGCCAGAGAGAGGCACAAACAGAGCAAGGAAGAGTTTGCTTGTGGACTATTAAATTCAAGGTCAATCAAGATTGAAAGAATGGATACAAATATTGAGAGAGAAAGAAGACAACTTTGGCTTAGTTTAAGGTATATATAAACAAAGAACATAATAGAGAGAATTAAGGAGAGAGATGGATGTGAAGAAAATTGTGGTTGTTGTAGAAGATGTGGATGCAGCAAGAACTGCTCTACAATGGGCTCTTAGAAACATCATTCGCTATGGTGACATAATCACCCTTCTCCATGTCTACCACTCCACAAGATCAAGAAGCAGAAGCAAAGCTCGTGTTCTTCGCCTCCATGGCTTCAAATTGGCCCTTTCCTTTCAAGATATGTGCAATAATTATCCCAACGTAGGTACCCTTTAAGGGTCATTTTGTTCTCTTTCAGTTGTTGATTTCATTTGATGTGTTCAAATTAACGGGTATGTGTCATAATAATAGGGTTGTGTTACAGACAAAGGTGGAAATTATTGTCACGGAAGGAGACCAGCAAGGAAGCAAGATCGCTGCCATGGTGCGAGAGATTGGTGCTTCCCTGCTTGTGGTTGGACTCCATGATTGCAGTTTTCTATACAAGTAAGTCCAATTTGAAAACATTCCCTAGTTTCTGAGTTCAACTTGTTCAGATAAAAGCACATTGGAATCATTAATTTTGCTTACATAGATGTGAAAGGTGGATAATAATGATATTTGGGTCCTTCTTTTCCCTAGAATTTATGACTATTTCAGACAACATTAATTCTAGTTGTGCATCTATCTATACTGTCATTGTCATCTTGGGGTGATCAATTAACATCTGAAGTTGAATGTTCTTAGAAAATAGCATTTGGGGAAAGAGAAAAAAGTTAGGTTCTGACTGGAGGTCAACTTCAACTAGATAGGTTCTGGGAATTTCATTTTCTCTATCTGATGCAGCAAGATCTTGAACTTCATTAATTGTCAAACTTGTGTTGTGTGTTATTTCTTTCTGGTGGTTCTGTGAAGAAGTTTATGCCAGCGAGCTTAAAAAATTGGTCAGTAAAAACCCTTTGCTAGGAATGCACGTGCCTTGTTTAATGGGTTCACTTTTGGGATCCACTATTTTAATCTGCTATCGCCCTTAAAAAGTAGTGCCCATGTTGATGTTATATTTTAGATGCTTCTGAGTCTTTCCCTTAAAAACTGTTATATATACAATTCACTTATTATTAGTTTGAAATTTAGTCTTAAATTATAATCTAATAATTATGAGAAGGAGCACTGAATTGCATGTCACACCTAACCACAGTATTGATTGTATTTTCTTAAGCACATACAAAATGCATTGATTGATTTCTGGAACGTTGTAGTATTATTAGATGAGGAGAACTCAAAAGAGTGTTTTTATTGACTTGTGATAGATTGAGAATGAGTGATTCCCACAACAGCATAGCCAGCATTTTCAACTGCAGAGTACTTGCCATCAAACAGCCTCGTGCTTGGGCAGTGAGGCCCATGATTTCTGCAGTATCAGTGCTAGACACTTCCACCAACCTGGATTTTTCACTAATTGATGTTTCTAGATCCCAGTAAGTTTCGTGATTACCATCATTAATTTCACAACATCTTCAATTCCTTACACACATAAACAATTCAATTATTATCAATGGACATATAATATTTCTTATTTACAATTGAATTGACAAAAAATAATTTAATTTTAAAAACTAAATGACTAAATAAGTAATTAGCTTTTTAGAACAGGAAAATTGTATCAAATTACAAGCATAATATTTGTAATAGTCATAAATGAGAGATTAATTAAGGTTGTTAATACAGTTTTTAGTGACATATTTAAAATTGCATTGCAGAGTCGCTGGTACCCCTCCACCAAAGATTCCATACAGAATCTGTCCTAACCCTTCAGCAATTATTTGGAGATCAAGGAAGTGTCGGAGATGGTGAAGGACACAATGTCGCAGACAAAATCTATTAATTAAAGTCGTCTTCAAAAGCACTTTGGCTTCTTTCTTTTACACTTTCTGATTTTTCTATAATTTATGTTCATCAGCCACACATACACACAAAATTATGCAATTGATTAAGTATAGTTTGGTTGTTTTATGGTTACATTTTTTTGTGATTGTATAAAAGAATTTTTTTTTATAATAATAGATAGTGTATTAGAGTTAGATTACCGATTTGTTTATTGCATATATCTGGAATCTTGCCCCTGCTAGTGCTTGATGACGCCCAAGATGCTGAGACAGAATCTGACAGTTTAATTTTTCTCATTTCACCAGCAGAAGTTCGTGTTAAGTTTCCGAATAGATATACTAAAAAAATGTTAAATAAAATACGTGTATATCTTTCCTTTTTTTTAATTTTATTTTATTTTTTAAAATATATATAATAAATTTCATATCATATTTTTATTATTTCTTAAATATATATCATAATAATTTTTTTCTTTAAATAATGAATTTTATTTTTTATATCTAAAACAGTTAAAAAAAATCTTTTTCATATATATTATTGAAAACACAACATTTTTAATATTATTAATTTAAAAAAAAATCTAATTTTATTTTGTTTTTTTAATGTGTCACATTTTTTATTTTTACTTTTATCCATGTAATTTTTTTTTGGTTATTTTCACATCTTTCATTCTTTTTCTTTTCCTTCAAATGCATAAATAGTTTTTTTTTAATTATTTTATTTCATCTTTTTTCTTTTCGTATAAATAGTTTTTTAAGTATTTTATTCTCTATTTTCTCATTTTATTATTTTATATTCTTTAATGTGTATGTATACACTTTTTTTTATATATTATGTTAAGTTTTATTTTATTTTTCTATTCATTCTTTGAATGCATTATTTTTTTTTCTCTTCTATATTTTATTACTTTTTTTAAATATATAAATCATAACGATTTTTTTCAAATTATAATATTTTTATTTTTCTTTCTTTATAATACTAGATGAGCGATTATAAAAACATATTATATATATTATTATAGATACTAGTGGAAACACAAATTTTTATATAATTAATATTTTAGAATATTGTTTTAAATTTTATTTTATTTTTTAAATATATTTGTCATTTTCACTCTTTCTTCTTGTATGTATATTTATTGTTTTTCAAATATATAAATTATAATTAAATATTTTTTTATTTTTAATAATATATTTATTTCATTTATGAATAATTTAGGACTAAGAATAAGAGTACATCACTTTTATTTTTATCTCTTTTAAAATTCTAGGATAATATATTAGTATATGTGTATATATCATTTTTAAACTATTAATGACGTATCAATATTCAAATTTTAAAAGATTAATTTAACATAAAATAATATCTTGTAAATTTCAAAGAATTATCAATATAATAATATAACTTTTGTTTAAATAGAATATATGTGATCGAAGTTTGAAGTTTAAATTTATTGAATTTATAATATAAAAAAGAGATGAGAAAAAAGAGAGGAAAACTAATCTTTACAACATTTTTAAAAGAATATATATAATTGAAGTTTGAAGTTTAAATTTACTGAATTTATAATTAATAAATTAATAATATTTAATTAAATGATTGATATATTAGTGTTTATTAATTTATTAACGTTTATTAATGAAAAGTTATTAGATTAATATTTGTTAGTTAGATAACTAATATATGAATATTTCCTGATTAAATAATAAATAGATAATAATTTTCAATTAAATAATTAGTGAATTTATATTTATAAGATAAAAACTTTAATATATTAATATTATTAATTGAAAAATTAATAGATTAAGATTTATTAATTAAATAACAAATAGATCAATACTTTTGTAATTAATAACTAATCCTAAATATTTATCAATTAAATAATAAATATATTCATTTTAATAATTAAATAACTAATATATTAATATTTTAAATTAAATGATTAATATATTTTACTAATAATTAAAAAAATAGAGAAATATTAATTCACTAAATTATTAATTTATTAATTAAGTAATTAATTAATTCATATTTATAGTTAAATATATAATATATTATAGTTACTAATTAAATAATTAATAATTAATTTTTATCATCTAAATAATTAATAAATTAATATTTATTTAGTAAACAACTTATTATATAATATTTATGAATTATAAAACAATAGATTAATACTTATTAATTAATTATTAAATTAATATTTACTAATTATATAACTAATAGATTAATTTTAATTAATTAAATAGTTAATAATTTAATATTTATTTATTTCAATTTTTATTAATTCAATAATATTTAATTAAATAATTAATATATTAGTATTAATTAGATAAATAATTAATATATTAATATTTATATATTCAATAACTATTACAATAAAATATACTAGTTAAATCATTAGTTGATTTGTTTTAATTAAATAACTCATAATTAGTTTTTATTTATTAAATAATGTATAGACTAATGTTGATTAATTAGATAGTTAATATATTAATATTTATTTAATTTTAAAATATTAATATATTATCTATAAATAGTTTTCCTATTAAAAATATGAATTTTTTTCCTGATTGTTCAACAAATTTTCTCGTCCACTATGTTCTCTGTGACGGTCGTAATTATTGATAAATATTTTCATTCGTAATTTAAATTTACTAAGATATTATGTATCGATAATTTAAAGATTTTAGAGGTTAAGATAATTAAAAGCAACAACAATTAAGAGAATACAACATCTAAAAGATAGACCAAATTTTGTGTAACAAAACTACAAAATTCACAAAGATAAAAATAGTTTGAAAGAAAACAAGAAACTAAATAATATACTTGGAGTTAACACAAGAAATTTGTAAATATTAAATTTATTGATAATAAATATAATTAAATTTTAAATATTTAACATGTGTATTTAGAATAAATGCAAAAATTTCACTTAAACTTATACTAAGTTATCAATTATATGTATGTCATCTAATATCATTAAACTCAATTAATACTTATAAAAGTTATATATTAATTATACAACACATCATCTAATAAATTCATTGGACTACATATGATTATTGCACTCAAGTAAAACTTACGAAATTGTATATGTCAACTCAATAATATATCATCTAATAAACCTAAGAAATTTATTATAGTTATTATAATCAACTAATGAAACTCAAGTGACCTCACACAATAACCTAACAAACTAGTTATAATCACTATAGTTGCTTGCTAAAATGACCTCATACAACATGTCATATGATGATCTCAATAGACCATCTTGATTATAGACTTAGGTCAAATTAAACAACAACATCTTACAAATTCATTAGATCACTTTATGGTTATTGGACTCAAAATGTATCATAAACTATAATATGTATATAATTACTAGGTCACCTTCTCATTCTCATCGATGTTAATACACACTTTTGAATTCAACAATAGTATTAATATTTAAGATATTTTTTTTAATAAACTAAGATAAAATTATATTAAAGTAAACTAACTCAGAGACATTTTTAGTGAACTTTGACCTTGATCGTTATCTTATATTATAAAATTCATACACTTTTTAAAACCTATAAAAACATTTTAGAAGTTGTACTAGTTTAACATCACATCTCATAACAAATAATAGTGCACAAAGATTATAAATAGAAATATAACCTCATCAAAAAAAGAATGAGAAGGAAAAAAAAGTTATTTACATGAAAAAAAACATTACAAAAATATATTCTACAAATATAGTATTATATTTTTTTAAAAACAGATAAAAGATGAAAATATAGATTATATCTGTAAAAGGGTGTTGAATAAAGCTTTCAAAAGAGTTTTTGCAATGAATATTAGTTGCTTTCAAAAATTTATCTAATCATAAATAAATCAGCATACTAATGTGTCATTTAATAATATTAAAAGATTAGAAGATGATATATTGTCTAATAGTACGTTTTCAAAAGACAATTTACATATTGTTTAAACCTAATAAATTTTTTTACAATGATTTCACAATAATTTAATAAAGTTCTTTTAAAAACATATATGTAGTAAATAAGATACTAAATAGATAAAAAAATAATAGATAAATATAAAACTCTTTATATTTATTTATCCTAATTACGAATTATATTTACTCTTCTATGAGAACACTTAAAGGGTTGTCTAACCAAATTATACTAAATCACATTTGACTACATGAGTATACTACATCACTCCTTGTTATCATCACCCTTCACTATTAACTCTAATCTCCTTCCAAAATTATGAACACGAATATTAATTGTCTAAAAAGAATTTATAATTAAAAAATTATAGAAAAAATATAATATCAATGCTCAATAAAAATTTCAAAAAAAAAAAAAAAATATATATATATATATATATATATATATATATATATATATATAATTCATATTATAGTATGGGGTCTCTCTTTGTCTTTTATCATATCCCAATTCATTCACTTATCATATTGTGCAATAAAAAAAGTTTACAAGAACATAAAGATTAAGGACCTAAGGCCCATAAAAGGCCTAATATTTGTACTATATTTTTAAGATATAAACATTATTTATATATTGATTTTCATGTGATTACTCATGTCATTGATTTAACTATCTAACTGTCTTTTACAAGTATACCCATAACATTCTGATTTGGAGGACAAAATACACGAACAGCCACGCATACTTAATGATATACATTATTGAACTAAAAGTAAAATATAGAAAATGAGTAGAATGTTATTTATAAAGATAAAAAAATTTAAAAATAGTTCATTTATCATAGTTCACATAAAAATGATCCCTATACTTTTAAAATGATTGAAATATGTCCATATTTTAAACGACGTTAAATATATACTGACTTGTCTAACAGTAAATGGTATGACTAATTAATTATTTGACACGTGTAATTATTTAAAAAAATAAAATTAAAAGATGTCAAAGTTTTTAAAATTTATTTAAATC